CACCTTTATGTGGGTTCCAGGGATCAAACTCAGGTCACCAGGTTGTGTGACAAGGACATTGACCCACCGAGTCATCTAGCTGGCCTAAGAAAATGGTTTTAAATCACTCAGCTCTGAAGATGTACACCTGCGTGACGCCTAGTGAATTTCCTCATTTGCTTCATCAGAACCCCAGAGATTTTTTTCTTTAAATGCAGAGTACTGGGCTAGAGCTATATAGCTCAGTTCGCAGAATGCCTACCTAGACTGCACAAAGCCTTGGACATGATCCCTGTCGCCATGTAAAATCAGGTGCCGTGGTGCATGTCTACCATCCCAGCGCGTGAGAGGTAGAGGCAGGAGAATTAGAAGTTCAAGTTTATCCTCAGACACATGGTAAGTTTGCAGCCAGCCTGTCATACATGGGACCCGACTCAAGAAAAAAAAAAAATGTGTGTAAAGGTTCCACGTTTGTCTCTGCGACATTGATTCAGGGCCCCATCAGCCTGTGTTGCCCCCTCGCCCACACCACATACATGCCATTAGTCTGCCGTCTCCTGTATGCAGATGTAATGAGCGCAGGTTCTCAGAAGGGCTGGCTTGCCTGCTGAGTGGCTGCTACCCTGGACAGCTCTCACAGAGCTGTGTGCACTGACGACCTCTGTCTCCTACACTTCTCAGTGGGACAGGTGGAGTCAGGGCCTGAAACTTGAGAGCATCAGCTAGGACTCATAACATCTGAACTCAGAGCTTTTATCTCTTTTAAAGAATATAAGTCAGGTGGTAGTGGTGCATGCCTTTAATCCCAGCACTTGGGAGGCAGAGTTAGGCCGATCTCTGTGAGTTCAAGGCCAGCCTGGTCTACAAGAGCTAGTTCTAGGACAAGCTCCAAAGCTACAGAGAAACCCTGTTTTGAAAAAAATCAACAACAACAACAACAAAAAGAATATCTTTATTGCTGCAAATATATCAAATATACATATATAGTGAATATACACGTGTATATGTGTATGTATATTTTTTCAGAAAATTTAATATGTAAAAATAAATCACCTCTCCTCCCACCATCCCTCCCCCCATCCCATGATTGACATGGTAGCACACAGCTTTGATCTAAGTACTTGGGAGGCGGAGGCAAATGAATCTCTATGAGTTCAAGACCGGCCTAGAGAGTTCTAGGCCAGCAGGGTTACACAGTGGCACCCTTTCTCAATAAATAAATAAAAGCAGCTGTTAACACCTGGCTTGCTTGATTTCCACTTAGCAGTCACGTCTATGAAGCATCATAGTGTCAGAGCCCGCACTACCGGCTCGCTGGCACAACCACCCCCCCTTTCTCTCTACCATGCACTGTCTTCTCCTAAGCACATTCATATTTGTCTCAAATTTTAAAGCCAATAACATCATACTGTGTTATAACTTCGCCTTTCGCACTCCAAATTTCCAAACTTTCTTTCCATGACATTAAATATTCATCTACAGGCTCACAATATAATGGTTGCATGAAACTTTATCGCAGGCAGGTTTCATGCTTCTCAGACTGGAGCACATGTAACCCTAAGGGCAAAGCCACAAGATAAATGTCACCCATCTTCCCGAAGCACAAATTTGATTCAAAACTTTGGGAGGGAAAAAAATTCAGTATCAGATGATTTCAGATAATCCATAAGGTAGGTTAGAGAAAACCCATCATTTTTAAAAGAAAGCAACAAAATCCCAATCTATGTGAACTCAATAGATTACCTATTGAATTACCCTCTGAGGTTAGAAACAGGCAAGAACAAAATTCCAGCTCAAGTCCCCTGTGTGTATGCATACGGAAGGAATGTATGCCCAGGGAAGAGAAGAAGGGACTCAAGGTCTGCGACTTAAACTGAGGCAGAAGAGCTAGGGGCCCTGCCTGCACCCCTCCACCATCCTTACATGACATCACCTGTCAATGTGTACATGGAGGCCTTGCCCCTGAGGAAACCCCCCCAACACACAGTCCAACTTCTAGCAGCAGCTTTTCCTTTCACCCAGCATCAAGCTGAACTTAATGCTCACTAGCTGTGCCCACCATGGTGACCTGCCCTCCTCCTTTCCTCTCACACATTCATTTGTTCTGTGCACATTTGTTCACCTATGCGCATTCATTTGTTCTGGTTGTCCCATGAAGCTAGAAGCCCTTCATTCCAGAGCAAGAATGATATCAGGTGCCTTTAAAGTGTCAGGAATCATACATTGTTTTATATGTAGTATCTAAAACCTTCATAGCATCTTTGCAAAGTATATACCATGCCCCCCAGCCCCCACTGAATAAAAGAAGAGGAGAAGGAGTAGGTATAGGCAGGGTGGCGCATGCCTTTTATCCCAGCACTTGAGAGGCAGAAACAGACTGATCTCTGAGTTCAGGGTCAGCCAGAGCCACACTTGTCTCAGGCATACACACAAACAAAAGGAACGGGGTTAAATAGTATCACTGCTCATCAGGCGCTCAGCCAGTCAATATGTATCAAAACCTACAAACCAGCAAACATGTGCTGCACGCTAGAATACTGATACCACGCTGCTTTCAGGGACTTGTAAGTGAATAGAGACAGTGACATTCTACAAACCTTAGTGATTGCAGTGTATGCAGAGTCCCATGAGACTGCCTCAGACAGAACCCACCTAAAGAGTAGGCCACTTTGGTGGGGGGGACACAACTTCTTAGCTCTCTGTCCCTCATCTCCCCTTTGTAAATTGGAGGGAGTGATGGCTGTGCCAACTTCCTAAGGATACTGTGAATGATAGGTGAATTAATGTATATCAGCATTCAGAGCAGAGCTGTGCCAAGGTATCTTGCTATGGATGGTAGTATGAAGGAGTGGCCTGGGTAATGGGGCAGAATCTAGTTCCAGTGACATTTATTTGGTCACTACAGATGAAAAGGGGTTTCCTTGGTGATATATACAGAGGCAGGGGCACAGAGTGTTGGAGGGATATTCTAGGTAGAGGGAATGATAGGCAAAGTACAGCATCAACTCACTTGGGAAGCTACAGGGGGTGTGGCTAAAACACAGCATCCGCATCGGGGAACCATCCGGGGTTCACAGGGGTTAGCAAGGGGCCTGTGATTTTAACAAGGCTTCTCCAGGTTCTTGCATAGCCTGGCTGATCTAAGTCTGGCGAGACGCTCAGTAAATGTTGAGTGAGTGACTGAACACATGCACAGCTAGCTGTGTTGGCTTCACCTGCTTCTGTTGTCACTCAACTAGAAAGCAAGTCCACAGCCCCAACGGCATAGTGAGGTATTCACATCCATTTTGTCAGACTCTTTCTTCTTGGCGGTATCCTAAGCTAAGTTCGGGTGGAAATCTCCAACATCTGGTTCCCCACACCCTATTGAGAGGCTCAGATCTAAGCCAGCATGTTAGAGGTGAAAGTCCCAATCGTCACAATGGGATCAGGGCTGGGGCACTCACTGGAGGCCCAGGCAGAGGCACTCGGAGATAGTGACAGACAGGATGCAGGGGCTCTGGGAAGTTCTGTTAGGAAACCGGGGGTGGGCTGAAGATGGTAGCTCGATTGGTAAAGCATTGTCTTGCTTGCACCCAGCCCTGGGCTGGATCCCCAGCACCACACAAACTAAGTATGGTAGTGCACGCCTGTAATCGCAACACTCCAGAGGTGGGGGCGGTGCCTGGGAGCTCAAGATCACCCTCGGTTACATAGCGAATTTGAGGTTTCATGATACCCTGCCTCCAAGGAAGGAAGGAAGGAAGGAAGGAAGGAAGGAAGGAAGGAAGGAAG